GGTGCCTTCCCCGGCATCACACTCCACTGCCAACTGGTTCTGTGAGGGGATGGGCTCCAGGGTTAAAAACAGTTCTTGGCTGTCGGGGAGAGTGGATCCTCCACTTGCCTGCGTCACGTTCTCCTCCTCCTCCCCTTCCTTGTCAACAATGTCCTCTTTGTTGTTGCTCGAGGTCACCTGGGGCTCCTGGGAGTTATCCACGGTGCATTTTGGTGTAGTGGTGGGGTTGCAGCCGAGAATCACATGCAGCTCCTCATAAAAGCGGCATGCCTGTGGGGCAGAACCAGAGCGATTGTTTGCCTCCCTTGTCTTCTGGTACACTTGCTGAAGTGCCTTTATTTTCATGGGGCACTGCTGCATGTCCCTGGCATAGCCCTTCTCCCCCATGTCCCAAGCGATCTTGGCATACATGTCAGCGTTTCTTCTGCTGGATCAGAGCTCTGTCTGCACAGACTCTTCTCCCCACACAGCAATAAGATCCGTCACCTCCTGTGTACTTCATGCTGGAGCGCGTTTGCAGCCTTGAGTCTCCATGATCAGCTGTGCTGGTGAGCTCGCCATGCTGATCAAACAGGAAAAGAAAATTCAAATGTTCCCAGGGCTTTAATAGGGGAGCGGCTGTTTCCTGTGTATCTGGCTGATGTGCAGTAGAGTTGAAAGTGTTCTCCAGAGAGGTCACAGCGAAGCACTGTGGGATGCCTTCTGGAGGCCAAGTCATTCGAATTACACATTACAATGTCTACACTATCCCCATGTTGACCCGTGGATGTAGAATCAAGTGCTACACCTCTCGCGGAGGTGGAGTACAGAAGTCGACTTTACAGGCCACTTAGGTCGGCAGAAGGGACTCAGTAGTGTAGCCACATACATTATTAGATTGATTTAACGCAGCTTATGTCAACCCAGGTTTGTAGTGTAGACCAGGCCTCAGCATTATCTCTTTTTTGCCAGTGCAAAGCTATGGTAAAAAGGGTTAATGAAATCTCTGGATGTATCAACAGGGGAGTAGTAAGTAGGAGCAGGGAGCTGATATTACCTGTATATATGGCATTGGTGAGACCGATATTGGAATACTGTCCATATTTTTAAAAAAAGATGTTGAAGGTACAGAAAAAGGTCACAAAAATGAACGGAGGGCTGGAAAAAATGCCGTAGAGTGAGATATATAGAGATCAATCTGTTTAGTTTATCAACAAGAAGATTAAGAGGTGACTTAATTAAAATGTATAAATATCTTCATGGGGCGAAAATATCCAGTATTCAAGGGCTTTTTAACTTAGCAGAGAAAGTCATAAAAAGAGCCAGTGGCTGAAGTTAAAGCCAGAGAAATTCACATTAGAAATAAGGCACCAATCTTTGACCGTGAGGATGTTTAACCTTGGAACAAACTACCAAGAGAAGTGGTGGAGTCACCATCTCTTAAAGTCATCATATCAAGCCTGAATGTCTTTCTAGAAGATATGCTTTAGAAAAACATAAGTTATTGGGCTCAGTACACAGGGATACCTGAGTGAAATTTTCTGGCCTGTGTTATACAAGAAGTCAGACTAGATGATATAATGCAGGGGTCGGCAGCCTTTCAGAAGTGGTGTGCCGAGTCTTCATTTATTCACTCTAATTTAAGTTTTCGCGTGCCAGTAATACATTTTAATGTTTTTAGAGGGTCTCTTTCTATAAGTCTATAACATATAACTAAACTATTGTTGTATGAAAAGTAAATAAGGCTTTTAAAATGTTTAAGAAGCTTCATCTAAAATTAAATTAAAATGCAGAGCCCCCCGGACCGGTGGCCAGGACCCAGGCAGCGTGAGTGCCACTGAAAATCCGCTCATGTGCCGCCTTTGGCACGCATGCCATAGGTTGCCTACCCCTGATCTAATGGCTCCTTCTGGCTTAAAATCTATGAATGTATGCCTCTTTAGACATAGACTTCCCTCCTCTCGTTCCCAGAACACTGCGCTCATGTGGGAGAGAATTTGTGTTGGTGGAGAGAGAGGCATAAGTAAGAGGGCTCTGAGAATTCAGTATGTTACTTATCTAAATTACGTGTAGGAGTGCTATAAATGTGCTTAAATATTTACTAAAGCATGTGAAATGACAAAGTCCCTGCCCCAACAGGCTTACACTTGATTCAGACAATATGATACACAAGACAACAACAGAGGTGCAAGAAGATGCAGAGATATTGTTGATGAGGCAATTAGTGTCAGAATGCTTCACAAAAGGAGTGTTTGTATTAGAAGGAGACTGGGGTGAAAGTGCAGAGCTAAGAGGAGAAGGAAAATAAGGGACTAATAAAGAGGAGTGAAAATGGAAGAAATGAGGATAGAGGTGTAGATAGGTACAAAATTGTACTGGGCCTCAAAGGTGAGGTGTGTACCCTTAAGTTTATTAGGTAAAAGACATGAAGTCAGTAAAGGATATCACGGAGGAGGATGATATGGTCAGAGTGACAGGAGAAGAGAAAGATTTGGACAGATAAAATAGTGTGGTTTCAGTACCGACTGATATATCTTTTATGTCTAAATTTGTTAGTCTCTAAGGTGCCACAAGTACTCCTGTTCTTTTTGTGAATACAGACTAACACGGCTGCTACTCTGAAACCTGATATGTCATTGGTGTTCATGATTCTGATCCATGCAATGATGAAGCATAAACATCTTGCTTTCTCTACCTCGTCTGTATAATTTACAGGGATATCCAACACAAGGCACTGCATTTCAAATGACTCTGTTTAGTCTCTGTGGTATGATTTAATCTAATGTGACAATAAATTTATAAACACAAATTTGATTCATCATGTGCACGTTGCATTCATGATTTGAAACAGAATGAATGCACCCTATATTTTGCCTTCTTAAAAAAAAAATCATCCAGTGCTGGTTTGATCTTTTGCTAATCTACTGCGATCAAATTTTATGACCTGAGGTCATGCTAATCCCCTATGGTCATGTAGTTACTATAGTTTCATTGATAGAACAAGGTTTAAGCAGTGAGAAGTGATGAAGTGAAGCTGATCCTACAAATGTAGTGCCTGCCTATAGCAGGGGTAATTATGGACATCTGCATGGCTTCCCCCCACACCCCTTCCTTTTGTGAATTGATTAAGCTGCTCTCTCAATCAGGCAACACCCCTTTTCAGCGCACTCAACCTCATTCTTCTTACTCTTCCAGGGGTTTGTTGAAGTTCTGGACTTTGTACATTTTAGGAGTTTGAATTTATATGGAAAGAAATGGTATTTGCACAAATTCCTCCCCGTGCCATATAGAAAATAGTGTGTTATAGACATGCATAAGGACTCTGAGAGACACTCTCCTGAGGGCAAAGATTACAGTAGAATTGCAAGAGTTCAGCTGGAAAATTTGTACTGGATTTAGTAGTTGGAGCATGGGACCAGGAATCAATAGTTCTGTATTTTGTTTGCAGCTCTGCTACTCTATCACTGTGACCTTGAGCAAATAACTTAACCTTTGTGCCTCAGTTTCCCCATCTATAAAATGGGAATGATTTTTACCCTTCTTTTATAATGCATTTTGAGATCCTTGGATTAAAGGAGCAATGTAAATGGTAAATATTATTTATTATATTTATATTTATTTGTCTGAGGCCAGGGAAGGAATCTGTGTCCAAACTGGGATTAGGACGTGAGAATTCCTCTCTGCCAGTCCTGTCTTCAAAGCACTGAGCTACGCTTTATGTTCATGTTTAGAAAACGAATACTTCATCAATAAATATGGTATTACTTAGACAGATTATCTCTTACACTTTCTGGGACAAGGTCAGTCATTTACTATATATTTGTACAGTGCCTAGAACAATATGGCTCCAAGCTCATGGATTTCTAGGCATTACCTCAGTATAAATAATAATAATAATCAGTTACCCCATTATCAATGGGATGAGACCAGCTGCCTTTTGAGTTTGAGGTGCGGAAGCCATACTGCCAAAGGAGCTCTAGTTTGGAAGTATCAAACACAGTTCTCCGGTTTCAGAGTAGCAGCTGTGTTAGACTGTATCCGCAAAAAGAAAAGGAGGACTTGTGGCACCTTAGAGACTAACAAATTTATTTGAGCATAATCTTTCGTGAGCTACAGCACAGTACTGAATCTCCAGCAGACTGTCTCCTCTTTATTATACCTTATCCTGTAAAACCTTCCTGTCTTGGAGGCAAAGCCTGAAATGTCTGGGATGTTACAAACTAAGCAGCTGCTTCTTCTTAAAACACCTGTGAGGTGATTCCCAGTGGACATAAAGGCAAAGGTGAAGATAACCTGAAATGCTCACAGGGACAGGCTTCATCCATCACCCTGTGGCTCCGTGCTACTCTGTGATAACCACCCCACTTTTTCCCAGCTGTTTTATGAAACACCTGATAGTTATTAGAAACATGAAGGACAGCATGTCTACTGGTTAGAACTGGAGACTAGACACCAGGAACTCTTGAATTTTAATCTTGGCTCTGCCACTGGCTGTCTTTGTTTGTCAGGGTTTTTTTATGAAACTTAATTTGATTGATGTGTGTACAGCTCTTTGAAGATGTAAAGCATTATATCAGTGCCAACTATTATGAAAGCAGCAACTGGTAATTTGGTTGGCAGTGTACATAGGGTGTCTGACAATCCATAGATGGGTACACGTGTATTCCAACCTCCAGTGGTTTCAACAATAAGAACAGAAAATATAAAAGACAGATAATAGGTTCATATTGCTGAATACCTTGGGAAAATTGCTCATGGTAGCTAATTTTTGAAGATCCATCACAATGTAGGCTATGGTCTCAGATCACAAACAGGCCTTAAATATCTGACTGAATTTAGTTTAATGTAGTCCATTTCGTACTCCAGGTAAATCAAAGCAATGTGCTGGATAGTGGATAATAAATGATTGCAGGTGATAGTTATGTGCTCAGCATGAGCTCATACACAGCCTTGTATGAGAACCTGCATTTACTGAGGAACATAATGCTATTAACCCTTAATGCTTTTTTTGTATCTTGTAGCTAGACAAGGGTGGAAGTAACATCGGCTAACCAGCAGCAGGTGCTGATCCCCTGACCACAGAGCAGTGCCTTTCCAATCACGATGGAACACTGCATGCTCCTTTCTGTAGTATCTACAGGTCACAGCTCCATGTTAAGGATGAGAGGTGAGCTACAATTTGTTTTGTTTTGGTGTGGCTCTCAGGATCCTGATGTGGTGTCTATGTGGCCCTTAGATGGACAAAGTTTTGAGTATCCCTGTTCTACCAATAGAAAATTCCCTCAGGCTGGAGCTCACTTGCCCATGTTTCTCTTTTCCTGTGCTCCAGGATTGCCAATCCCAGACATTCAAAAATCACGTCAGCTCCATAAAAATCATGAGATTCACATATAACAATGACATTTTGACAAATAATAAATGTTGGGATTTTTTGTTTGCCTTCTTGTATTTGAACTTGTAGGGTGCACTTGGGTCATGTTCTCAGGCTTTTCTCTATAACCATGAGGGCCAGAAACATACTCTTTTTAAAAATGAGAGCTGAGATTCTCACACGAATGCTTGACCCCACCCCAAATATCATGAGAGTTGGTAACACCGGTTTGCAAAATTGTACCACATGTTCTGGTTCCTGACAGAATACTGCATGTTTCTTCAGTGTTCAGGTCCCAATATAGACAAAGTGAGGAATAGCTATTGTGGTTGGTTTTGAAACTCCTGAAAATAAAATTAAAAATTATAAAATGTTCTTGCACAAAATAGGAAAAAAGTGGGACTATTTTTCCAAATTCCATACATGTCACATTCTTACTGTCTGACAGCAAGTGATAGCTGAAGGAGGAGCTTTATGGGTAGTTTAAATGCCTCCACTTCATGGTCCTGTATTAAATACTAATTTGTATGTTAAGGTCCACTTATAATTTCCAATGCTTCAGTATTGCACTCTGCACAATATGGTCAAACTGTGTAATCTCATTATAAGACTATTTATTGCTTATTTCAAAGGAGATCTAATTTTTCCAAACATTTATTTATAGAGTAAGATGTACTGCACAGAATTATTGTGTGTAAAAAGAGAGAGAAAATAAATGCTGTAAGTAAGTAGAAGAACAAAATTAGACTTGCTCAACTATTATGATTCTGTATTAAGAATAAAGCAAAAAGATACATTTAATCTTTTTTAATGGTTTGTGTGTTTGGGGGTTTTGTGCAGGAAATTAATTATTCAAATTAAATTAAATTAAATGACTGATGGATTTGAGCTTTGCACCCCCACAATGTTTGTCTTATAGCTACACGTCTTTATCTTCAACACCTCTGGCTGAAGTGTGTTGCAATGGGTGAAATATTATATAAATGCAGCCAAGATTGAGCTCTTTATTCTCCATGCATGTATGGGTAAGGGACCGCTCTACTTTGTAATATGGAACTAGTCTGTTCCATAACCAAATGCTGTAACTTGTGAAAGAAATAACACTGGGAAAGATTCAGATGACCAGTGTATTGTGCTGAGGCAAATTCCAAAGCAGACTCGTTCATTTAACACCTGTCATTCAGATGTATTGTTATTTGATGAGGGAGCACAATGGGATGGAGTCAGCCGAAAACACAAACTAGCCATACCCAACTACACAGAGTAAAGTATGTCACTTGTTGTTAAGGATTTGGGAAAATTATGAGCAAAACAGTGAAACATAAGAACTCTTGAAGCCCAGCTCTGAAAGGTGCATTGAACGCTCTCCAGTCCCATTGTCTGAGGATCAAGTCCTTCGGTAACATCTGTTTTCAACTTTCCGTGCTCAGTGAGATTGCCAGCCTGAAAATTACATCACATCTTTCACAAATTGCCAGCTACATTGATTTAATGGAAGATCTTAACACCCACAAACAATATCTTTAGCTAAACATAGTCCTCGTCCATACTGGAATTTCAGCCACCAGTGTAGCTGCATTGGTGCACAACCCTAGTGTATATATGATTTACTCTGTTGTGCAGGGTTGCCAACTGTCTTATCACACAAACCCAAACACCCTTGCCCCACCCTGCCCCGACCCTTCTCTGAGGCCCCACCCCTTCTCCAAAATCCTGCCCGGCTCACTCCATCCTCCTCCCTCCGTTGCTCGCTCTCCCCCATCCTCCCTCACTTTCACTGGGCTGGGGCAGGGAGTTGGGGTACAGAAGGGGGTTTGGGTTCTGGGCTGTGGGATAGGGCCAAGGGGTTCAGAGTGTGTGAGGGAGCTCCAGGCTGAGCCTGGGGCAGGGGGTTGGGGTGCAGGCACGGGTACGGGGTGTGGGCTCTGGGAGGGAGTTTGGGTGCTGGAAGAGGCTCAGGGCTGGGGCAGGGGATTGGGGTGCAGGCAGGGGTGCGGGCTAGGGTTGCCAACTTTCTAATTGCACAAAACTGAACATCCTTGCCCTGCCCCCTTCCCTGCCCCTTCCCGAGGCCCCATCCGTGCCCCACCCCTTCTCTGAGGCCCTGTCCCACACTCACTCCAGCTCCTCTCTCCCTGTCACAGCCCCAGGGCAGCCTGCACCCTAAACCCCTCATCACCAGCCCCACCCCAGAGCCTACACCCCCAGCTGGAGCCCTCCCCCTCCCCATCCTGCATCCCAACCCTCTTCCCCAGCCCTGAGCCCCCTCTCACACTCTGAACCCCTGTTGACCCCACCCCCACCACACATCACCTCCATATTGGTGCACATAACAAAATTAATTCCAAACAAGGGTGGGAAAAATTAGAGGGAACACTGGTGCTGAGAGGGAGTTAGGGTGTGGGAGGGGGTTCTGACCTGGGGCAGGAGGTTTGGGGTGCGGGAGTGGGTGCGGGCTATGGGAGGGAGTTTGGGTGTGGGAGGGAGCTCAGGGATGGGGTAGAGGGTTCAGGGTGCGGGGTCTGGGAGGGAGTTAGGGTGCGGGCTTCAGCCGGGCAGTGCTTGCCTCAGGCAGCTCCCGGTCGGCAGTGCAGTGGGGCTAGGGCAGGTTCCCTCCTAGCTTGGCTCCACACTGCTCCTGGAAGTGGCCAGCATGTCCAGTCCCTAGGCGGAGGCGCGGCCAGGCAGCAATGCACGATCTGCGCTGCCTGCACCTGGAAGTGCCTCCCCCGCAGCTCCCATTGGCCGCAGTTTCCAGCCAATGGGAGCTGCAGAGCCGGCACTGGCTCCTAGGGGCTGCAGGGACATACTGGCCGCTTCCGGGGAACTGCACAGAGTCAGGGCAGGCAGGAAGCCTGCCTTAGCCCTGCCGCCCTGTCAACCAGAGTTTTAACGGCCTGGTCAGCAGTGCTGACTGGAGCCGCCAGGGTCCCTTTTCGACTGGGCGTTCCAGTAGAAAAAAACAGACACCTGGCAACCCTAGTGCAGGCTCCGGCCGGGAGGTGCTTACCTCGGCTCCCAGTCGGTGGCCCAGCACTAAAGCAGGCTGCCTGCCTGCCTTGGCCCCATGCTGCTCCCAGAAGCAGCTGGCACGTCCCTGTAGCCCCGGGGCGCGGGTGTTAGGTGGCTCTGCGCGCTGCCTGTGCTCACAAGTGCCACCCCCGCAGTTCCCATTGGCTGAAGTTCCCGGCCAATGGGAGCTGCGGTGTCAGCGCTGGGGGCGGGGGCAGCGTGTGGAGCTGCCTGTGCGGCCCCCCTCGTCCCCCCAGGGGCTGCAGGGACATGCCAGCTGCCTTAGCCCCGCTGTTCCGCTGCACTTTCAGCACCTGAAATCTCCCAGTTTGGCTTCAGTAGCCTCTGGGAGATAGAGCCTGATTCCGGGAGAGTCCTGGCGAAACCGGGAGGGTTGGGAACCCTTCTGTTGTGGTATGATTTACCCCAGTTTAGTCCGCTAGCTGAAATCTCAGTGTTGACTTGACAAGGCTGTAGTCTCTTTCTACTTGGAATGATGAGTTCTCATTGCAAAACATTTTCTATTTAGTTTTTTCCATGGTGTGTACAGATGGAAAGAGAACTAAACTGTCCTAGATATTCCTTTGATTTAAAAGTGTATTTGCAGATAATAGTGAGGCTGCTGAATTTTCAGAAGCAGTGTTAAATAGTGCTGCTGTTAGCAGTTTCAGAGCAAGCAAGCAAAGTATTAAATAGCATTGTCCATTCTTTTTCTCCAATTTCTTACCACTTTGACATCAATTTATTTTTAATGAAATACTTTTCCTGGCACTTCCTTTAGAAAAAATAAAAGAGAGAGAGAGAGAGAGGAGATGGGTTGTGTACGGGAGGGTGGAAGAAGTGCTGTGGAATGCTGTAATGGGGAAGCAGATTATATCTTTGCATGGTGTCAGAATATTAAAAGCATTCTGACATTGCACATGTTTTGCCCCTTAAGCAAATTGAGTCTGATCCTCAGCATTTCCCTCTATCCCACCCCCTTCCATTAGTTAATATGTCAGCAGCACATCTCTCAGAATGAGTTATGGCATGATCCACAGAAGGAAAGGAAGGGTACTTTGAACAAAATTATGAAATAAAAGTCAACTGCAGCATAAAAAGCACTGAAAGTGGGAGAAAGGAAAAGAACTAACTTCTCTGACACAGCACTGGAGATATGGGTTGTTTACTGAGTTGTGCAACATTGTATATTATTTTGCAGTAACTCATAGGGGATTATTAATTGGCTAAAATGAGATAAATATATAAAATTAAATAATTTACCACTTCCCAGAATGCTTTTCATTAGCTTCGATCCCAGAGTGCTTTATAAATTAATAAACTGATTTACAAACTAAGTATATATTTTATCCTCCATGTTGTTCAGTGATTAGCTGCATATAAATTCTAGCATTCTTTTGAGAATTTGTTTATACAGAGGCTGCCTCACCAGAAAAATACCCTAAATCATTATAGTGTTTTATATGGTGTCTCCATCATATCCTCCCCCAAACACCTCTACAACATATACAATGATATTTTTCAAAGGAGGATAATATTTAGTAAATTAAAAATTTGTCATGTGTCATGGGCATGTTTGACTTTAAATTCATTGTGTAATATCCTAGCTCTATTGAAGTTAATGGCAAAACTCCCATTGACTTCAATGGGGCCAAGATTTCTCCTATTAGCTGCAGAGATTCTTCTGAAGAATTATATTCATGGAGAAGAATGGAGGGAGAAAGGCCAGGGGGCCCCTGGCTTGTAAAACAAAACAAAAACCCCAAACCCTCAATATACTCCATTCCCCTTTCCCCCTGCTCCACGATCCCTATCTCCAGCAATCTCCGCTCATTTCCTGTAGAAACACCAGTTGTGTCCTTTCTTGTAAACAGCTGAGTCCGGCCTGTTTCAGTTTATTGTTTCATGCTAGTTAAAGTAAGTGACAGGCGAGAGCAGCATAATAAGGAAACAGTGAAAACTGGGAGAAAATAAGGGAACTCACTTCTAAAACCATGTC